GTACTTAAAAATGTTTAGGCAAAAATCATTAAAATCATAAATACTACACATAAATACATATAGTACTGTAAACTACTATAAAACCCCATGATATAACGAACAATCCATGATAAATGATTTAATTATTTTTTGAGAACCCACAAAACAGTGAGTCCATGAAAGTCAAGCCACAAAATAGCGAGGGACCACTGTAAACCTTAATAATATTATGCTAAGTGAAAGAAGCCAATCACCAAGGACAATATAACACAGGATTCTATTTATATGAAAATGTCCCAAATAGGCAAATCTATACAGCCTAGATTAGGCTGAGACTAGGGTAATGGCTCTGAAGGTGCCAAGTTTCCTATGGCATAACAAAAGTGTTATAAAATTGCATGCCTTGGGGCTGGAGAGATGGTTCAGTGGTCTAAAGCACCTATTTGGAACAAGCTTGGCAAAGCACAGGGACCGCGGTTCAATCCGCCAGCACCACATGCCAGCCAGCCCTGCCCCCAGGTGGGCTGAGCTGGCCACACACACACACAATAAATAAATGTAAATAAATAAAAAAATTGTTAAAAAAAAAAAATAAAATTGCATGCCCGAGAGATAGCTCAACGGCTTAAGTGCCTGCCTAGCAAGTACAAGGCCTTGAGTTCATGAGTTTGATCCCCGATACCAATAAATAAATACTAACATAACAACACAACAGAAAATTGACTGCACTGGTAGTTGCACAACACTGACAATTAGAAGCTGCTGAACTACACACTCTAAGTGTATGTTCATTACATCTCAGCCAAGTCGTATAATATATATTATATATAATATAATATAATATAATATAATATAATATAATATAATATAATATATATACTTTGAAAAGGTCCTTTACAGGATCAAGGATTTAACTTAGTGAAGAAGTGCCTGCCTGGAAAGCGTGAGGTCCTAAGTTTGAGTCCCAGTACCAAAAAAAGGTCCTTTATGGCTAAGGGGGTAGTTCAAATGACACAGCACTTGTCTAAAAGTCCTGAGTTCAATTCTCAGCACATTAAGAGAAAAAGTCCTTTAGAGCCAACATTCTTTGTTCTTTTCCTTTACCGAGTCCTCAAAATGCCCCAAGAAAGCTGTCTGGTTGTGTCTTTCCTCTAAGTAAATCAAGGGGAAATATATCCTATTTCACCAAACTCTATCAGGGCCAGGAGGAGTTAGGTCACAGAATTTCATGAATGGAATGTTTATTTATTTATTTTTATTTTTATTTTTTTTCCGGAACCGGGGATTGAACTCAGACCCTTATGCTTGCCAAGGAAGCGCTTATTCCACTGAGCCATCTCCCCGGCCCGGAATGTTTATTGCACAGAGTACTTTGATAAACAGGAGAAGCTGACCCTACATCCACTAGTCTTTAGAAACTGAGTCTCTTAGAATTTTTCATATGACCTGTTAATCTTCCCCTTTTGAACAAGCTATAGTCAGCTAAAAGACTGCTAAAGAAAGAATACTAACAACTCTGGTAACTTGGCTGTCATCCAACTTGATATAATAAGCTTAACAGACTCAATAGGAAAAAAAAAAGAATACACTATATCCCTGCAAAGTAAACAGTTCAGAGCTCATGACTTCAGCAGTTCCAAGATTTTTCCTTAGAGCCTAGTAATTGTTCTTGGAAACCCCTGCAATCTCATGGAAACTGCAAATATCCTCTGTAATTTGGGGGTTGGGGGCAGGAGGTTTGCAAGTAGCCAATCTGAGAGCATTATTCAGTTCTCTTTGCTGCTGATTGTCTGATGCCCTGTAACCCATCTCAGGCAACTACACTAACATTCTGCATCTTAACAGTAGCTACCAAGGGTTCTCAGTTTGTTCTTCTTCAAGCCCTAAGATCCCTAAGATGTTGCCAAAATGTCCTGTACCTTCTAAAGTTTTATTAGTATAGTATTTCATTAAATCACATAATTGTGAGAGACAGCATATTTAGAATTTAAACTATAAAAATAGGCATTTATAGGCATTTTTAAAAACCATATGTGAAATACATAGTTTTTCACAACTTGTCGGGGTGCTCTGAGAATGTAACCCCTGTGAATTTCAGAGGTCCGCTGTATTAAGGTATCATGAAAAAGAAAACATCTATAAAGGCTAGAAATGGTCTATTTGATTTAGCAGAAAATGAGACTCACTGTCAAGACATCCTGAATATGCCAATGGTGCCATGGTCTAGTATTAGTAAACAGTAACTGTCCCCACATACCATACTAAGAAAGTGTAAAAGTATACAAATATGGAGGTGATACAAGAGAATGGCCATGTAACATTCATTCAGAACCTTAATCTTACTTTCTCTGAAACATGTATCTCTCTAAAACACATGCTTCTAAAAAGATGACTAATTACAGTGCTAAATTTCTATAACTTAGTATATGTGCTGCCTAAGCGAGCACAAAATTTCTGTAACTTAGACAACTGATTATCTGAAGCTCATAATACAGTGCATGCAGAGGGGAGGTGACACTCTAGGCCTAATAGCCTATGGAAGGCTGAAGATCCCTCAAAACCTCAGTGAGGAAGAAAAAGAATCACACCCATACCATCTACCCAGACTGCCTGCTCAATCATTTCCCAAAATTGAAGCCACCAGAAGGGCAAGATGTGTTTCTCCTTAAGTATGCAGTCACATACATTGAAGCCCTGTCCTTAGAAGCTGCACTGTTCTAGGACACAGGACTACTCTGCCTTGCCTCACTGCATCCACAGCCTCAGGAGTTTTGAAGTGAATATTACCAAGAACAGCACTGTCCTCAGACTTCTGCTAAGCTGTCCCAATCTGCCCACCTATACTCTGCACACTACTGAGCAGATAGTCTTGGTATGAAAAATCATTTTTTTGATCTTTGCTACTGCTAATCATTTGTGGAAACTCTCGATGGTGCAAACAATGACCATAACAGACAAGGCCTCAGCCCTGCTCTCAGCCCAATCCTTATCGTGAGGTAAAAAAACATCTAATGAGATTATTTATTCTTCATATATGGTCAACTTCATAATACCTGAGCTGTACAATCCATGCTATGGAGTATATTTGGCAGACTATTTGTCTATTGCCATTCAATAGTTGTAAACAACTGAACCTAGACAATTTTAAAGATCTCTAATTTTTCATCATTTGTTATATGTTTAATATACATATATATTACCAGACATATCTAAACCTTGTCTGAATCAATATTTTGACCTGTAAAAACTTTTTAAATCAGGTTTTCATACATTTTAGATATACATAATGATCACATACACCATAGGGACTTTGTACCCGCACATTTTCCCCTTTCCCCTACCCTTCCTTCAACAACTCCTCTATTTACAAAAGCTTTGTTTTCATTCTTATTTTTTTCCTTAACGTCTTGCCTCCCCCCTTTTTGTTTCCCTCACCATTTGAACATTTCCTTCCTATTTCACAATAACTATTATATTTTGGCCTTTATTTACACTTTCAGTTTCTCACACCAGAGAAACAATGCAGTATTTACATGTGTGTCCAATTTATTTCACTTAAGAGTAAGGTCTCCGGGATTCTATATCTGGCTTGTGGTGCAGGCCCTGCCCCCAGGGCAGGCTGAGACGGCCATTAAGACTGGGCATGGTGGTAGCCTGAATCCCAGTGTGCCTGCAATCCCAGGGCTTGGGAGGTTGAGAACAGGAGGATCACTACCGAGTCCAATCTATGTAGAGAGACCCTGTAGACCCTGTACTAAATACATTAAAAAAAAAACAACAAAAAAACCCAAACAAACAAACAAACAAAAAAAACCCAGTATGGTCTCAAGGTGACCTGCACAAACTTTTGAAAACATTTTTTAAAAAATCTTTCCTATAGTCAGACATGGTAGCACACGCCTGTTAGCAAAGCAACTCAGGAAGCTGGAGTAGAATGATCACAAGTTCTAGGCCAGTCTAGGCAGACTAGCAAGATCTTGTTATAAAATGAATAAAAAGCCTAAGGTAGTCCAGTGGTAAAACATACCTGGATTTATTATCTACTTTTCACACACAAAAAATTTCTCTAAATTTCTTTGCATAAGGGATCCCTCACAGTTCCAATATTTTAGAATCCATGTTAATTTTTTTTTTTTTTTTTTTTGCTTTAAGGACCCCGATGATAGCCCCTCACAACCCTGTTTCTAGACACATGAGTTTTTAAGTCTTTTCCTTTGTACTAGTCATTGAGAAACAGAGTCTACACCAATACATTCTCTACTTAGAAATTTAATACTTTGTACCACACACAGAGACATAGGGAATAATTTCAGTGTTATCAAAGATATCAGTCAGAAAACATTTCTGCCTTTTAGGATGGTACAGTGCACCTGCCTCAGTAGAAGCCTACCTGTCCATGTCTTCTAAATTATCCACTGGTGACCCCTGTCGATCATTAGGGCGTCGCCGTTCTGGTGTGCTAACACAAAAGTGGTCATTGCCAACAGTGATCCTTAAGCTCTGTTCCACAGAAGAGTCAGAATGCAGACCAGGAGAGCGTCTCTACAAAGGTAAAAGTGTCAATATGGTCAACACATTCCCCACAGCCAAAACTGTTCCCCCCACTCACAGTGTTGTAGTTTAGCAAGGTAAATAGCTGTGGTAAGAAACTACCCCCAAGTAAAATTTTTTTTAAAATTATCATTTTCTTAGAGATAAAAGCCCATACTTGTAACCTTTCCAGTGATCTCTCATTTTTAATAGGTATAGGAACAGACAAGTAAATAAAGCCTTGCTTTCAGAACCTATGTATTTCTAGTCAAGGAAGAAAGCCAAAGGCAGGTGTTTTGTTTTTTGTTGTTTTTTTTTTTTTTTTAAGTGCTTCTCATCATGGTAAGTGCTAGAGTCATTAAAATATGGCACCAGGGCTGGGCCTGGCGGAGCACACCTGTGATCCCAGCATTTGGGAGACTGAGGCAGGAGGATTGTTACAAGTTTGAGACCAGCCTGGGCTGCAAAGTGAGCTCAGGGCCAGCTTAAACTGGCTAGTGAGACCCTGTCTCAAAAAGACAAAACAACATGGCACTAGGAAAGACTGGGGGAAAGGACAGGATGGTTAGAAGCTTCATTTAACCTGGGAGACAGATGTCAGCCTTGCAAAGAAAAGACAGAAGGGTGTTTCAGGCAAAGGGGAAATCACCTGGGTAATGAGCTTGGCATGTTTTGGATAACCAGTCTGAAATAGCAGCAGCAGAGTAACAGCAGACAGAAATCACAATTGGGATACCCCCCCCCCCAGCACCCAGGAACAAATTAGCTGAGCTCTACCACTGAGCTACAACAGCAGGCCTTTTTTTTTTGATAGTGTCTTATGAACAAACTTGATGATCCTTCTGTCTCAGTCTTCCTCACTGCCAGGGATTGCTTGTAGGTCACCATGCCCAGCTTATAGTTAGGAAATTTTGGTTTTATCTTAGTATGGTAAGAACTGCAGAAAGATTTAAGTAAGAGTGTGATCTGACATTTTTCCCTCTAGATGTCTGCATTGTCCACTCCGTCTTCCTGTATTTATTCAAGTTACTTTCTCAGAAGACCTTCCCTGGACCCCATCCTAAAAACCCAAATTCCTTCCTCTGCTTTATTTTGTCCTTATTACCTAGGCAGATTTAATACACCATGATATTTCTAACCTCTCCACCTTTTTATCCAACCCGTCCTGCTAAGACGTTGAATTCCACAAGGGCAGTGCTTTGTTCACTCTTATACAAAATACATGTCAGATGCTCAATAAACATTTTTCAAGTCTATAAAATGAGCCATCAAACCATTTTATTATATACAGAATAAACTAGAGGCTAGCAAGACTAAGATGGAAAGGAGTCATGCGCAACCATCCTGAGAGGGAAGAAGAGTGTGGACCATAGTGTCAGCATGAGGATAGTGTGGGCATACCATTTGGGGGTACAGCTAACCAGTTAGACCCATTAAGTCTGACATGTTAGAAGTGGGGAGAAGGGACATGAGACAGTTTCTGCCCTGAAGAAAGGATAGCACCATTTATGACGGTACCGTTTACTGAGACAGAGAAGACTGGGGCAAATAAACTATGCTGGAATAGAAAACGGAGGTTTTGAAAACAAGTATTCTTGCTCCCGCTGCAGCGACCAGCATAGCTCAGCTTTAAAATCTTAAAGAGTAACAAGTCAATCTGCCTGTGACCAAAGGATACAGAAGACTGGTATAGTATTAAGAGACTCCTCTAAAGAACACCAGGTTAAAAGAATGACTGCTAAACTGAAAATAGAAACGAAGTCTCAAACACCGGCTCTGTGAGGCTCTGCTAAGCTCTGGTTACCTGGGAAGTCGGTGTCACATCTACCTTCTCTCCCTGTGCTGGGGACAGGATCCAGGAACCCACAGCTAGCCTGAGCACCACAGCTCTGCAAGTTCACGTCTAACCACAGGCATCACTGCTAGCAGTGAATATAACGGTGCAGAGTGGGCTGCTGGACCGGATGGACGGGACCGAATCACAGCTCCGCCACTTCTCGGCGGTGTCACCTCGGCCAAGTCACTCGGCCTCCCTGGGCCGGGTCCTGAGCCGTTCACGAAGTGGCCCACGGCTGCACCTCCAAGACTACGGTCGCACAGCGCCTGGCCAGCCGACAGCAACCGTGGCGACACATCATCCCTAACATGTGCGGCGTCTCCAAGTCGCCACCCCGAGGTCCTGACAGTGGCTCCCGGGACCAGAGGCGGCTCAGACGCCCCCTCTTGGGAATGGCGGGCTAGCGTGTGGCCCCGGCCCCGCAAACTTTCCCGCACCGCGGCCGCGGCCTGGGACCAAGGCCGGCTTTGTGCGGCGTGCGGGTTCCCTCCCGGGAGGGTGGCATTACCCGGCTGCCGCTGTCGCCGGCGTGGTTCCCGCGGCCGTCCCGGGAGAAATCGTCGCGGGGCTCGCCGCGATTGCTGCCTCGGAAGCCTCCCGGGCCCGGAGGAAAAAGTCGGCGGCCCCGCGGAGGGGACGGGGAGCTGCGGCGGCTGCGGGGAGGGGACGGCGAGGCCCGGCGGCTGCGGTGCGCAGGGGGCGAGCGGGGCCGACGCGCCGGGGTCCGCAGCGCGGGGGCGCAGGAGGGCGGCGGCGGTGAGGCGCGGCGGGCTGGGCCTGACGAGTAGCCGGGGCCGCCGCGGCCAGGACGAGAGTCGCCCCCGCCACAGTCCTTAGGCCGGTGCGACGAGCCCGAGACGCGGGGGCCGCTGCGGTACATGGTTCTGGCGGCAGTAGCCACAGCGGGCAGCCCGAGTGCGCGCCCGGCCGCTGCCGCCGCCCCCTGCCCTCGGCTCAACCCCGCGCACCTCCAGGGGCCCCAGCGCGCCGCCGCGGTCACGGCCGCGACTGGCGGTTACAGGGCGTGAGCGCGCGGCCGACACACCCCCCGCCCGCCGGGGCTCCCCGCGCCTAGCTGCGCCTCTCTTCTCCTCAGAGCGCGGGGCGGAGCACGGAATCTGCGCGAGGCGAGGGAGGGGGGGAGCTGAGGCGCGTGTCCCGCGCTGCGCATGCGCCGCCCTCCGGCGCATAAAATGGCCGCCGTGGAGCCGCCCCCGGCTCGCCCCCGGCGTTCACGTGACCCTCGCGGTCTCTGCGCAGGGAGATCCCGGGATCTTAGCGCTGCAGGGCCTGCTGGGCCCGGGCAGTAGGAGCGCTCTGCCGCTCTCCCTACGCCCCCACCCCTGTTCATTTATTGGGGTGCAAATGATGGGAAAATTAATGCCCTCCAGCCACGGGGGCGGCCAGACGGCTGTCGGGTGACTTTCCGACCCTTCAGTCTCTAGAGGTTTAAATTGAGAATGGGGAAGTTTGAGCCGGGGAGAAACACAGCGCGCGAAAGGAATATGTGCAAAACATGAAAAAAAAAAAGTTGAGGGGCCAGGGGAGATGGCTCAGTAGAATAAGCGCTTCCCTGACAAGCGCAAGGGCCTGAGTTCAATCCCCAGTTCCGAAAAAAAAAAAAAAGTTGACTAAAAGATGGCTTAATATTTCATCTATCAACTAGATACAAAACTTGAAATAGGCATAAAAGGTTTCAGATCTCAAAGCAAAGGCAGAACAAAAAAAAACTCATTTGCAAATCTAAGTTTTAATTAAGTTTAAAATATAACCAATTCCATGCGTTTGATAACATAGGTTTATGTTGTAGCTCAGTAAAAATAAAGTAAAAATTTTACCCCTAGATTTTTTTTCTTTAATTTATTGTGTGTGTGTGTGTGTGTGTGTGTGTGTGTGTGTGTG